AAATGGGAAAGTATGGTTTCCTGGCCCTGCCAGCCACGGGGTCCCCCCCTCAAATACTCCTCCCCCAGCGGTGGTGGTGGCGGCGGCGACTTGTCTGGTGTCAGTCGTCCCTGGGGTCTGGAGCCTTGGGCCTGCCCTCTGTGCAGCTCCACACGCCCTCGAGGGGGTCCTTGGGTGCCAGTGCCCTGCGGGTGATGGTGCAGCAGCGGCTCTGGATGGCGCTCAACAGAGGGCGGGTGGGCACGGTAGGGGGAAGGGTTGTGGCCTGGGGGTTCTCGGGGGAGCCTTGGGCCTCTCCCACTCTGTCCTCCTCATGTTCCTCCTCGCGGTGGAGCCCTGCGCCACTCAGGAGCGTGCCCAGCCCGTCAGGTCGCAGCAGCACAGCGGGGAGGAGACCGCAGCGCCCTCTGAACCTGCGAGGGGGGCGGGAAGGAGGGTGGGGTTTGGCTGTTGCTGGATCCTGGGCCCCGCCCAAGTTCCACCCCCGTGCACCTGCAGAGCCACCAGCCACGATCCGAAGTTTCCAGCACGCGCACGCGCGCCCCCGCAGGCACTGACAGTTCATCTGCGTGGCTGCTCTCGTAGGCTTGGGAAGCGCAGAATTGAGACCCTGGGAGTGGGCATTTGGGCGTCACTGTGAGGCCTCAGGGACCAGGACTCCCACCTCTATCTCCTCCCCCCATCGAGTCACCACCTTCAGGCATCCCCCAGATGATGGGACCAAGTACACTCTGTCCCCATGTCCAGCAATCGCTCAGCTGTTTACTGTGGCCCAGCTTTGCCACACACTGCCCAGTGGTGGTGGCTGGCTTGGGAGGGGTGGGATGGGTAATTACCACTACTCCCTAGGGGTCGTCGTTCTTGGCCCGGGGCCGCTTCCTCCAGGTAGGGAGCAGGAAACCACGCTGTCTGCTGGTCTTCATTTGCCACCAGCCACCAGCCTGTGCACAAGAGGTGGGCGGAGGTTCAGACCCCCAAGCCCTCTCAGGTCCTGGGGGCAGATGGGCGAGCTCTCTCAGTCCTGTTCAGCCCCACCTGAGGGATGTCGCAGCAGCACATCTAGGATCTCCTGGGCCCGTGCATGGAAAGGTCGGCCCTGCGTGTCCTGGGTGCTGAAGGGCTGCAGGCAGCGCAGGCTCTGAGCCTCCAGGCCACGGATGGCAAGGCTGTCCGCCGGGCAGGGTAGGGGCTCTTCAGGAGCAGGCAGGATCACCAGACTGGGAAGGGTAGCGCGCAGGCGAGGGGCGGGTGGGAAGTGTGGTGAGGGCCTGCCACCCCTACCCAGTCTGCCCAGCCTTTGCTCCTCCCCCAGCCTCCAAGGGCTCTTGCGGGCAGGGAGTTGGGGACGAGGCAGGCACCTGCCCGGTGGCAGCGCGGGCTCCAGGTCCAGGGGTTGTGGTGCAAAGAAGCCGGTGAGCGCTGGGCTCCGAGACACACGCACCGCCGCAGCCAGCAGCGCCCGCGAATAGGTTTCCAGCAGCCGCAGGCGCGCCAGGCCGCGGCCCGTGCGCCCCCCGCGTACCAACAGCGATGCGTCTGCGGGCACGATGGGAACCGACTGTGGGACCCCGCCCCAGGGTTCCCTCCACCAGGCCGCTGGTGCCCCTGCCCCTCCAGGGATCCCTGCGGGCCTCCCTACCGGCCTCACCGGGAAGCTTGGGGAGGACGCGGTCAGATTTCCGCAGCAGGCCCGCCTCTACCGGGAAGGTTTCCTTGAGGGTCTTCTAAGGGAGAACCAGCAAATCAGTCTCAGAGTCCACCGGTTCCCTTGGGAGGGTGAGGGTTCCTTGCCGGGATGGGGGTCGTAGGGGCTTGGACGCCCTCGCGGGCTCAAGGGCAAACGCCCAGGCCATTGGTCCCTCCAGCAGCAGGGGCACTTGGGTTCGCCCCAGGCTCACTCACCTGGAGCGTCTTGAATTCATCCCAGCTCCTGCGCACGAAAGTGTCGCTGTCATCCGACCAGTGCACAGAGAAGGCAAATGTCTGTTGGGAGAAAGGTTGGGGCGCCTTGGAGGTGCTGGGCCAGGAATTCCTTCCTTCTTCCTTGGCGCTGGCAGGGACTCCGCCCGTCATACCTGAAGCCGCGCTGTCTGCACTAGGGCTGCTGCGCACACTGACACCGGGTACCGGGGGTCGGCCATCGCTGTGCCTCACGGGTCCCGGTCCTGGGCTCCTGGAGTGGGTAAACTGTGGCCAAGGGTCCCACTGCGTCCTGGCTCACACGGTGGGGGGGGCGGGGGAGAGAAGGAGGGGGGCTCCCGGGCACCCGGAAGACTGATTGGAATTCCCCGGCTACGCCCCAGACCTGCCAGGTTCTTGTATCGCTGCCTTGCCCCTGGGTCTTTCCCAGCTTCGTCACTATGCCCAAAGTAGATCTGGGTAGAGGGACAGGAACACAGGGCTTGGGGGTGGGGAGGGGCAGAGAAGCGGTGGAGGTTGGGGACTGCGGCCTGAGTCCCTCAGGCATGAGTCTGGCCCGTGGGAGGAGGAGGAAAAGGAAGAATCCTCAAAGTGCCGCCAGGCTTAGCCCGGCTCTCCCAGCTCTCCCACACCCGGTGTGGTGCTGGGACTAGCGGAGCCTCCTCCAGGGCGTGCCCCCACGGCTCTCTCTTGAACTCACCTGGGAAGCTGACTGCTGTTGTCATCAGGAACCAAGGACCCAGTGCTAAAAGCTTTATGTACTTTGTTTGGCTCACATTGGAGGAAAGGTCTCTTAATATTTCCAAATCACAGAGGAGGAAATTTGTATTAAATAGATAATTAATGTCAGTTTTTCTGGATGTGGGGGTGGACCTCACAGGCTCACCCCAGAGGTTCCCCCGTGGTGGGGAGACTTGGGGCAGGACAAAGAGTGTCCCTCTCTGCAGTCACTGGCACTTGGGGAGGGGGGGTTGGTGACTAGGACTGTTTTGAGAGCTGCCTCTAAATTTATGATTTATCACAATTTACTGCTAACACAGCCTCTGAGATCAGAAGTCACAATTCCGCCACTAACGGGTGAACAGGGGTTGGACCCTAGAATCCCCAGACATGTGTGCGCTCAGGTGCCCCACATCTCTGGGCTGCTTCCTTATAGGAAAGACTTCCAGAGCTCCATCCAACCCTGGTATATTTTGGCTCTTCCTGCTGTTGGGGCCACCAGCTCTAGGTTGGGACTCCTACCCCAAGCTGTCCAGGGAGGGGTTAGCCTCTAGGACATCCCTCCCGGAAATCACCCTAGCCTTGACAAAGGGCCTTTGTGCATCTGTCTAATCAGTGGCTCTCAAACCTTCTCTGGTCTTGGCCCAGGCAACGAACACCTGCTGACATAGGCCTGAATTGCAGCGTGCCTTCAGCCCAGCTGTCACGCCCTCTCCGACCTCAGTGGGGGCCATGCTGAGGTCCCAGCTGGCCTGGCAGGGTCCAGGGTGGGGCAGACACTTCTCCCCTGGGAGACCAGGAGAAAAGCTGGGAGAGGGCCTGTTTATTCACAGCCAGGGACCTCCTAGAAGGGTGCTGAGGCCCCCTCCCTGCCCCACCTGACAGCCCCTGCTCCACATCCCAGCAACCCTGGTTCCTTTTCATTCTCTCTCTCTATAGACCACAGGCTCATCTATCCCTTGGACAACTGCCCCGCCCCATGCCCATGCTCCTCACTAGCTCCTATGAAATCCACCCTCCAGAGGAATCTTTGCAAAACACAAAGGGGATCAGGTTGGGGTGGCCCTGCCCCAAATTGTCCAGCACCTTCCTATGGTCCTTAAATTCCCAGCTCCCATGGCAGCTGACAGGGTCCTCCGTGTGCTCCTGCCCACCTTTGGATCACCACCTTCCCCAAGTCCTGTTCCACTGGCCTTTCTGCCCATGCCCACCTCCAGCCTTGGCCTTGACTGCCCTCCTCAGCTGATTCCTCATCCTTCAGGCTTCTGCCTAAGTGTCACCTCCTCAAGGAAGCCTCCCGGATTTACCACACCCCTGTTCACGGTTCCCACCCGTTTCGCAGGGAATATTTGTTTTGTTTTGTTTTTAAAGATTTTTATTTATTTGACAGACAGCGAGAAAGGGAACACAAGCAGGGGGAGTGGGAGAGGGAGAAGCAGGCTTCCCGCTGAGCAGGGAGCCCGAGCGGGGGCTCGATCCCAGGCCCCCGGGATCACGACCTGAGCCAAAGGCAGACGCTTAACGACTGAGCCACCCAGGCGCCCCGTCAGGGAGTATTTGTTAGTGTGACTCCTTTTTTGTTTTGTTTTTGCTTTTTCCGTCTTGACCAATGGACAATGAGCCCAGAGAGGAGGTCAGGGACGGATCTTGTGCCCCGCCCTGCCCAGCGCCTGGACCAGTACTTGGAACAGATTAGACACTACACAAATATTTTCAGGATGAAGGAATGTACGTATAGAAGCTGCGGCCACTCCCGACGTGGCTATAACCCCTTCAGGCAGGCTATAGGGATCCAGGCTACTCCTTGCCCTCAGGAGCCCAGAGACCCGCCAGCGCCCGTTGCCATGGCGCCGGTCACCCGGGCGGACCCGCGGGACCCAGGCCCTAGCGCGCGCCCCACTCTGTGCGCTCACCGCGCCACCCCGCGTTGCCAAGGCGCCGCGCGGCCGGCCGCTTGGCGCGCCCCAGCTGAGGGCACAGAGCCTGGCCGCGGGCACGCGGGGCGGTCAGAGCGGAGCGATGGGGGCGTCTCGGGCCGGAACACGGACTTCGCCTCGGCCGCAGCCTGAGTTCGCGGCGCGGCGGCGGCGTGGTTTCCACAACACGCTGCTCTTCTACTGGAGGAAGCGGGAGCGCCGCCACGGGCGACGCGAGTCAGACTCGGGACGCGGATCGAGGCCCAGGGCCGCGGCCAGGAGCCGGGCTTCCAACCCCGCGCCCGCCCCGGCCCAGACCCCGGCCACCGGCTCTGTGGCCTCTTGGGCATGCGCCGCGGGCCAGAGCCCCACCCCTCCGCCCCTCCCCGCCCCAGGCCCCTGCCCCAGCTCGAGCACGGCCTCCGCGCTCGTGCCCGCACCCGCGGCGCGCACGACCGGCTCCTGTGGCCGCGCCCTAGCGGTGGCGCGCGCGCTGGCCTGGAGACCGACTTGGAGGCCCAGCTGGAGGCCGAGCTGGCCCGGCAGGCATTGCGCAGGCAACATGGCGGCGCCCGGCGAGCGGGGCCGCTTCTGCAGCGGGAACCTCTTCTCCTTCCTGCCCGGTGGCGCGCGCTCAGAGGTGATGGATGACCTAGTGACGGACGCGCGCGGCCGGGGCGCGGGACGAAGGGATGCCGCCGCCTCCGCCCCGGCGCCAGCCCCGGCGCCGACCCCCGATCCTCAGGTCGCCGAGGACCCCTCCCGGAGGCGGCCCTGCCGGGCCTGCGTGGACTTCAAGACGTGGATGCGGACGCAGCAGAAGGTGCAGATGCCCAGGGCCGCCACCTCCCCTGGTCCCGGCCCCCACGCCTTGTTCTCAGGCGTCTGCGCCGACCTCCGGAGGCCCAAGCCGAGCGGTCCCACGGGCCTTATGCCTCACAGACTTGTGCCCCCTCCCCAACCAGGGTGGGCTGTCCCTACACCTTTTCCCCAAGGGAGGCCCGGCCTTTAGGGTTTCAGCCACTCGTGTGCCGGATCGGCGGCCGCAGGGCTTCCGTCTCGAGTCAGTGGGCCTCTGACTGTGGCGGGGGGGAAAAGGGAGCTCTGCGGACTTCCGGTCCGGGGAGGCGAACTGACCCTTGGTCGGCCTCCTTCCGCAGCGGGACAGCAAGTTTAGGGAAGATTGTCCTCAGGACCGCGAAGAACTGGGCCGCCACAGCTGGGCTGTCCTCCACACCCTGGCCGCCTACTACCCCGATCTGCCTACCCCTGAACAGCAGCAAGACATGGCCCAGTTCATACATTTATTTTCCAAGTTTTATCCGTGTGAGGAGTGTGCCGAAGATATAAGGAAGAGGTAAGTGTGTCTGCATTGTCTGTAGGCAGCAGAGCAATCCCTCCTGGAGCGCGGGCCTGGGGCCCCCCCCCGGCTGATGTCATAAAGGGGAGCCTGGAGAAGCAGGTGCAGAGGTGGCAGAGGGTCGCCCAGAGCAGGGACCACCAACAGTGGGCATTGGATCAACTAAGCGGTCTCCTTTCCCCTCAAGGGCCAAGCTGCCTGGGGCTGCTGCTCCTGCAACCAGAGACTCTAGGCCCAGCTTCACTTACAGAGTCCCTTGCTTGCTATTTCTGGAGGCTCGGGCAGGTTAATGAGGCCACTTTGCCTGACTTCTGGAGCAGGACTGCTGATTTTAAGGCCTTGAGAACCCACTGCTTTTGCTTCTGGGAGCCACCTTTTCCTCCCTGGGGAGCCCCCTTTTCCTCCCTGGGGAGCCCAAGAGCTGTTGTTTGGCACCTATAGGTGTTTCTGCGCTGAATGTGGGGGCCAGGGCAGCCCTTGCCATTTGAAGCCTGAGCAGTTAGAACAGCTCTCTTGCTAGGCCGAGGCCCCAGAGCCCCAGGTGCTAGAAACAGGTCTGGTTTTCAGTTATGCCTTTGTGTTGCCCCACCCCTTCATACACTGCCTGGGGCCAGGGATGCTGGGGTGAGGCTTCCTGATTGTTATGAGGTTGTAAAGTTGCATGATTGGTGCCTTAATGTTTTGCTTTGAGTTCTCGTCCGGGTTTGCTGAGCTCCCCAGGTGAGGGGTTGAGCAGGCCTAGGAGTGTGCCACTGTTGGTCAGTGCAGGGTCAGCCCTGTTCTACGAATGCCTGTCTCTCAGAGCACAAGGGCCTCCTTCCTGGCTATAGCCGACAGCCGCCCCAGCTCTCCTGCCTGGATGGAGCTGGCAAGGAGCCAGTGGGGCAGGAGCGGTGGGAACCGCGGCCTGTCCGCACCTTCCACCTGCTTCCCCCACAGGATACAGAGGAACCAGCCAGACACACGCACTCGGGCATGCTTCAGCCAGTGGCTGTGCCGCCTGCACAATGAAGTGAACCGCAAGCTGGGCAAGCCGGACTTCGACTGCTCGCAAGTGGACGAGCGCTGGCGCGATGGCTGGAAGGATGGCTCCTGTGACTAGATGGTGGCCGGCAGAGCTGTGGGACAGAAGCCCGGGGCCTCCGGGCAGCCTGGCCAGAGGGGGACGGGGCACTCATTAAAGTGCGTCAGAGCCAGAGCCTGTCTTGTGTCAGTTGGATGGTCCCCAGACACTGCTCGGGGGCTCTTTCTCTCTTAAGTTTGGAGGAAAAGCAGAGGTGCCCGCTGCAGACACCCCAGTGGCCCGTGCTCCTCCCCATGGGCTGCCGGTGAAGGAGACAGGAGCAGCCCAGGCTGGGCGGCCGGCTGCTCACCCAGCACCCTGGTGCCCACTTCCCTGCACAAGAAGGTGACAGGCCCGCCTGGGCCGCCTGTCCTGCTCCTTGAGGGAGGGCTAGGCCACTGTCCCGGCTCAGAGCCTACGAGGAAAGCACAGGCAGGCTTTCCCGGAGGGCCCGCTGGTGCTGCCGCCCGCCTCTGACTGCACGTACCCGTACCAGGCCTGTCAAGAGACTTTGTGGGGCCAGCCCTCTCAGAGCTGGAGACCAAAATAAAATGGTACAGAAGTGACTGAGGGGCTGGCTTTGGTGTGTTTTGTGCTGGGACTTGCGGTGACGGGCAGGGCCTGCCCTTGCTTCCTTCCATCCAGGTTCTGCTCCGTAGGAGGGGCAGCCTGGGAAGCCAAGTGCTGGAGCTGAGGGAGGGTCAAAGATCAGTGGGAGGTCGGATGGCACCAAGTCTTCATGTCCCCAGCAAGGACATTGTTTTAATACTCTCCTCCCGCGACAGGACGGTCTTGGAGGATTTGGAGCCGAGGAATGGCACGATGACTTCCGAAAGGTTTCTCTGGCTGTTGAGCTAGGATGAGGCAGGTATGGGTGGGAGCAGGGACGGCAGGCACCCCTGTGGCACCTGGGCGGGTCAGAGCAGATCGACAGGCAGAGAGAAAGGAGCCAGAGTTAACTGGGGGGTTTGGGCCCTAGCACTGGGAGGATGAAGATGCTCTCGGGATCTGTGCTCCGGAGAACGCTGTAGGTGGGGCAGGTGTAAGGGTGACCTGCATGTAGCTTTTGGGCCTTGCCAGGTCTGCTCAGCCACACCTGCTCCCAGGCTTGGCTCCCAGCTGGAACGGACCAGCAACAGTATGCCCTCCCTGCGGTCGTCACGCACTGGTCGTCTCTCTCCCGGTAGCATCTTAGCCTCTCCCTTCGGCTCAGCTTCCTCGGCACCTTCACCCAGCAGGTGCCACAGGGGCTCTGGCTGCGGCAGGGCCTTCCCCCAGAGAAGACAGAGATGCAAAGAAATGGGAGGCAGGGAGCAGCCAACAGAGAAATTGCTCCTCGTTCCTCCCGTCGAGGAATTGTTCCCAACACGTGGTTTTCTTCTGGCCTCTCCCAAGTCAGCCGCCAGTTGGAGAACCAGCCAACTTCTCCAGGGAAGCCGTGCCTGGCTCAGGAACAGAGAGCCTGGATGTGCTCTCCTGTCCTGCCTCCCTTCCCTCTTCCCCTAACTCTGGCTTCCTGGAGATTTCACCCCCTAATCCAGGCTAAGACAAGTGGGACTGTAGTTTGAGGGGAGGTTCTGGCTCAAGCTGTCAGCTCGCAGACCAAGGGACTGGGCAGAGAGGGAGGAGAAAAGCCCCAGGATCATACCCTAGGGCTCCCAAAGTTCAGAAGTTACAGGAGCTCACAGGGTGGACAAGAAGAGAGAACCCCGAAAGGGTGATGAGAGGGGCTGGTGAAACAGGGACGTGAGGAGAGGGTGACATCCACAAGCATTTCCAGGAGGGTGGGGATGCCTGGATCGCCCTGGCACTAAAGGGGGCAACCAAAGAGGAAGTGGCTACTGCTCAGAACAGACCAGGACAGACTGGATACCCAGTGTCGGGGGCTTGCAGGAAGACTCGTGGGTGGCACATCTGGCTACACCTGCCTTGGGGCGGATTCCACAGGGGGTGGACCAGATGTCCTCTTCCATCCACACAGACAGCACAGCAGGGACCCTTTGAGTCCCAGCTCTTGACTTCCTGATGTGGTGGAAGAAGTCAACCAGCTGTCTGTGTGTGGTATGAAGACAGTCCCTACCCCCCACGGGGCCTTGTGAGGCGGCTTGGCACTGTAAATGCTCAACAGATGCAAACATTTCTTTCAATGCCCTAGGCAGAAACATAGCAGTCGTCTGGGACCCTGCCAGGCTGGCCAGGAACACAAGGGAGGGACCCTGTCAAACTTGGGCTGGGGGATCTATGGAACAGACCCAGCAGGGGCCCCCAGCTTAGCCAAATTCCCCATCTCTCACGCTTCTTTCCACCCCTCAGCCCCCGACTAAACATGCCAGCCACAAGTCAGTTGGGGAGACCCAGGAGTGTGAAGGGCTCAGTGAGCACCCTTGGAATGACAACATCCACCCACAAGAAAGGAGCAGAGATGTCCCAACTCCCACCCATGCTGGTCTGTGGGCTCTGCCCTCCTGGACAAATGCCCCTAGGGGGCAGAGGCCTTCTCCCTCCCCTGTCAGGGAGGCTAGAACCCTCTGAAGGAGAAGCTAGGGTGCAATTGGGGGGTTCATAGGAAAGGACCCAGTAACTGATCTCTGGTCTAAGGGGAAACCAGGTTCAGGGAGTCGGGCTCCCCTTTCCTGAGGGCTGGAACGGGGAGCTGCAGCCATTGGGGAGACCTGGAGCCCTTGGACCTCTGTTACCCCTTTGCTCACGAAAGGGCCCAGCTCAGAGGGGCAGAATCAGGTTTGTCTGTCTCTTCGCCTGGCTGCCGCAAAGGCTGAGCCTAGCGTCCACCTTCCCTGCTGACTCCTGACTTCACCTGTGAGGGGCGGTGGTGGACTCAGTCCCCGGCCCCCCAGACCCTGCCCCTCTTGGGGCCTGGGGGGTGGTCTCGCATCTCAGACCGGGGTCTAGCAGGTGAAGGGGGGTGTGTGGGCGGGGCGCCGGAGGGAGGGACGGGCTCCAGCCCCGCAAGCGGACCAGTTGGCGGGGGGCACGGGCTCGGCCCCGCCCCGCGCGCCCCCGCCGCGGTCGGCGCGCGCTCCCGGGAGGCGGCGGCAGCAGCGGCAGCACCAGCACCAGCACCAGCACCAGCACCTTCGGCAGCACACCCGGGCGGCCTCGGGCGGGGCCGGCCGGACGGACAGACAGACAGAGGGCGCCGGGGGCGCGCGTCCCTCCTGGGCTGGCCATGGAGGGAGCATCGTTCGGCGCGGGCCGCGCGGGGGCCGCCCTGGACCCCGTGAGCTTCGCGCGGCGGCCGCAGACCCTACTGCGGGTCGCGTCCTGGGTGAGTGGCCCCGGTCCCGGCCCCCGCCCCGGTCCCGGGTCCCGCCTCGCCTTGCATCCCTCGTCCCTCCCCGCTGCCCCTCGCCCCTCGCCCCTCAACCCCATCCTCGTCCCCGCCGGCCCCTCCCCCGCCAGCCGCAGGTTGGGGTGACGTCACCGGGCTGGGCGCGCCCACCTGCGGGAGGGGGAGGGGCCGACGGCAACGGCCGGGGACCTTGAGAGGTCACCGCTCGCCGCCCCCATCCTCCAATTCCTCCTTAGGTCTAACTCCGTCCCCTTCCTCAGCCCTCGCCCCGTTTTTCCTGTTCTCACGACCTGGAAGCGGACACAGGGGCGGGGACGGGATTGGGTCTGAGCACTCAGCCTCAGCACGAGGAGGGGGCTGTGGAAGCCGAGTACTATCAGGCAGCGCTTACACCTGCTTTGCCCGCACACAGCCTCCAGGTTCCTTCCAAGGGAGCTAGCCCTTTCCCAGGCCCTCCAGTTGCAATTGTGTGTGTATGTGGGGGGTGCGCTGGGATTCCTCTGGGTGGGGCAACAAGAAGGGGCTCTGCACAGGGAGGTCTTCCTGGGGGTGGTGTGGGAGGGGCAGATTTGGGGACAGCCTAGACTACTGGGGCATCCCTAGGCCAGGTGGCCTGCTCCTCCTTCCCACCTCTCCAGGCAGGAGAGATGAGAAGGTGGGGTGACGATCTCTGGGTTTTATTTAGCTGGTGGCACCTGGTGCCAGCCAGCTGCACCTACTGGCTTGTCTTCAAGGAGAGCGGTGCCCAGGGTGGGGTGACTTTGTGCAGATTAGGAAGGAGGAACCCTGTGTTCTGGTGCCAGCTCTGGTCCGACTTGTGGACCACTCTGGGGGGGACATGTCCATGCCCTGCACCTGGGTTTCCCTCTTGACTCCATCTCAAGGAGCTGGAGAGGGGGAGGAGAAATGAAGTTAAAACTGGAGGTCTTTTTTGGAAACACAGGCTGCCCAGAGCTAAAAGAGCAGCATCTGGTTTAAAATGACTGTGGTCCAGGGGCGCCTGGTTGGCTCAGTCTTCAGAGCATGCAACTCAGAGTCATGAGTTCAAGCCCCACGTTGGGCGTGGAGCCTACTTAAAAAAAAAAAAAAGAGTGTAGAATGACTATGGTCTACCACCTACCTGCCTTTCAGCCCTTGTGGTAAGGGGATGCTGAAGTTGGCTGAGCCCCAGAGTTCAACAGTATCGCCTTTTTTAAAAAGGACTTGTTTGTTTGTTTATTAGAGAACGCACGAGTTGGGGGAGGACAGAGGGAGAGTGAAAATTTCGGGCATACTCCCTGCTAAGCCTGGAGCCCTAGCCCTACTTGGGGCTCAATCCAATGACCCAGGAGATCACTACCTGAACCGAAATCGAGTCAGACGCTCACCCAGCTGATCCACCTAGGTGCCCCAATACTATCGCCTTTGAGCCCAAACACGATGCTAATAATCAGTCACACGGGGCTATCATCCATTGGGTGCCCACCAAGTGCAGGATGCTGGATGGGCATTATTTTCTCTGGCCCCAACACTCCATGAGCTCTACCTGTTACTATATTTGGCATGTTAGGAAGCAGGGCCACACAGCTCCCAGATGCTGAGGGTAGGTTCCATGAAGGACTGGGTGACAGCTGTGCCCCTGTCCTTGCGCTGCTCCCGGCTGTGCTCTCAACCCCCCCTTCTCCACACCTGCCTCCCACAGCGCCACCCGCTGGAGCGTAGGAATCACTGGTCCAGGTGAAGGCTCCTGTTCCTACAGTTTCGAGGGGGCCATGCAGACACCCTGTGGGCCCCACACAGTGCCAGTGACCCAATTTGAATGTCAGCGCCGTCTTTTATCAGCCAAGTGACTTCACTAATTGAAGCCCCAATTTTCCCATCTATAAAGGGGATGACAACGGCCCCCTTGTGGTTTGAGGGGAGGATTCTAGGAGGAATGCATGTAAAGTAGCGG